GCGCTGTATGAGTTCATCGTAGCTACATTGGATTGCGCAAAAGAGTCCTCACACTTTTCGAAACGTGGCGCAGTGAAAAGCAGCACGTAATATCAAAGCCTTAATTACCTATACTATTGTGTTGGTTCCTTATGAAACTTATAGTAGAATATACACCCAACCCCTATTCTGCTTTTTTGAGGCCCTTACAGTACACTGACTGGAGATCGTGGCCGTTTGGGGTTGTCTGGGCTGAACGTCAAGGGGAACCCGGCCCTCACCTCCTCCTCACCTCGAAGGCCTGAACACGAAGTCCTGAGGTGCCTAAACCTTACTTGGAGGATCAGGGGACTTACTAAGTAAGGTTATAAGTACCTTAATTGGGGTTGTAAGTAATTATAAGTATAGTTACCGTATATACAACCCTGTCTACTAAGTCCCATGATCCTTTAAGTACACCCCGAACCCGAACCCCTGAATCCCAACCCTGATCCGTAAACTCCTAAGGTCCTAAACCTCGAACCCTAAACCCCCGAAGCCCTAAACCCTGAACTCATCCTGTCGTCCACCAGGAGTTTTAAGATGGTTTTGTGGCGAAGCTGGCGAAGTCGTCCTTCTCATGTCGCTTGTTTTGTGAGGTAAAGGGTAAGGTTCAGGATTTCGGGCTTAAGGTTTAGGTTTTTGGGGTTCTGGGGTGGGTTGTACTTAACATGCTGCCTGAATCAGTAGGACGGCCTGCTCACACGGCCGCACAAATAACCCCAATTAGGGTACTTAGGGACTACTTTCTCTTGCTCATCAGATGTGGCAATCACTGGTTTCACTGTGTGTTCGGGTACTTATAACCTTACTTACTACGTCCCCTGATCCTGCAGGCAGCCTCAGCTTAGCCCAAGTCCGGAAGCCTCCATCTTAAGCCCTGCAGTCCAGAGTCAGGTAGCCTTTAAAGGGCTCCTTAAAGGGATCTGTGGGGTTCCTTAAAGGGATCTAGAGGGTTTAGGGTTCAGAGGAGAAGGGAAACCAACACCGGGGTCAGAAGAATCACAGCCCCCTAGAGTTCCAAACAGAGTTATGTCATAATATGAACCCAAATCCTATGCAAATCATCAAGGCCTGCATGCTACCCCCTGGAAGTCACCCTTATAACTTGGAGCCCGTTAAAGAATACTTAAAACGGAACCTGTTCGGATCGTTGAGGCCTCTATACTAGACGGTTATAGTACCTTTTCTGAAGCCTCGAAACAGCCGTGGCCCAACACCCTATTCTAAGAATTGAGGCCGCCATATTATCGCGCAGATGGACATGTATGGCAGCTACAGCTTGTGGACACTTTCGACTAGTGCAAGGGCACCCTCCCAACACCAGTTCACACACAGAAGTGGTCACCATTTACACAGGACCTTTGTCTCATGGCTGAAGTTGAGCCTTTTTTGAATAAGGGCCACGTTTGACTCGCACAAGCTCTCTTGACTGCCTTGTCTACATAACGCCGGTTATGCCTCCTAAACCCTAAACCCCAAAATCCTACATCCCGAAACCCAAAAGCGCCAGGTATCTTTTCAACCTTCTCACCCTCGGGATGACTGTCTACATAGATGAAGCGGCAAAGGCGATGCTCGAGATCCTTCGGCTGCAACAGGGGGGAGCTTGGGGTGAGAAGGGTTGCAGAAGGGTTGCAGGGTTTGGGGCAATAGGATTTTGGGTTATGGGTTTATCGTGTTGGATCATTGTCTTTTTGCTTGGGCAGTGAATGGCATCTGCCGGACTTTGTCATGCACGAGTCCAGGGCTTCACAGGTTTGCATCTTCTTGTTCGCCGTCTTCCAGCTAGATTTGAGACCTCGCCCACGCGGGTACGCTTAAAATCGGGGATGCTGCTCGCATCTTGGTTTCGGCGGCTGTAGTCTTGGCTTGTTGCCGAGGCCAATACCACAAGTCGATGGAGCCAAATCGACCCCAGCCCTTCATCCCCGAAGCATGAAGAAAGCCTTAAACCCTTTTCCCTTAACCTTAAATTCTCGGCCCTAATCCCTAAACCCCGCAAGAGCCCAAGCAAGCCTAGCTGAGGCCCATGATTATGATGGGCCGAGTCGTGGGCTCGTTGGCATTCCTAGATTGGCGCCATGGGTAGCTTGGCTCGTCTCGGGGATCATGATTTGTACTGTCATGACCATTGTGATTCTTATGGACATGAACAGTATGATGGTCAGCACGGTCATTGTGATCATTACGGCTGCTATGGTTACTATGTTAACTATGACGAGTACGGTTATTGTGAGATGGTTGTTCATATCACTATGAAGCGTTGGCTCTTTGTCGACCATAGCAGCATAGACCCTGAACCGTTTCAAACTCAAAGCATCGTAAACCCCTTAAAACCATCAGAACCAAAAACCTTTAAAATCCAAAAACCGTGCACCCTCAACTTCGCATACCTGCAAAACACACGCTAAACCCTAAGCCCTAAAGGCTCTAAATCCTGAACCCGCAAAGCCCCAAGAGGTTAACGGTTTCAGGAAGTTCAAAGAGTGCAGGATTTTTGGGGAAATTAGAGAGTCTACAGTTGGTTGTTAGTGGTTTAGATCGGTAAGGGTTTGCCGGGGTTTAGCTTGTGTGGCTCAAGACTTTTCTGCAGTTTAGGCTTTGAATCCTGTTTGCCGAGTTGTAGTGGAGACTCCCTTCAGCCTGCTCACCTGTAGCACTTTGGACCAGAGTGCATTAAGGTTTAAGGGTGAAGCCACAGTAGAGGTTGAAGGTTTGGGCTTTCGGGGTTTAGGGTTTGAGGTTCAGGGGTTTAGGGTTTAGGGTTTAGGGATATGGGTGCAGGGTTCCTGGACGCAAGGCTCTGCTGCAACAGCCTTTTTGCCGCCCCCGGGCAAGCACTAGTGATGTTCCACATGATCAGGGGTTGCTGATATACCAGACGCCCGAAGCCCTACTGTAAACCCTATAAGCCCGAAAACCCCTTCACCCCAAACCCGAAACTGTAAACCCTGGGCCCGAAGCCCGAAACCCTGGACTGCGGTAAGTCCGAAGCAGGGTCCTTTAAGGCTTACGGCCTCCTTTGTAGTGTTTCAGAGAAGGAGGATCCTTTTTATTCAGATTCAGGGTTTACATTGGGCCCCGTCTTTTCCGAAGCGTTTTCATCTACTACAGCGGGCAAGAAGCCTTAAAAAGAACGTCATCCCAAGAGCAGGTCAGGGGTGTGCCACACCCACAAACGAAGCCTTTCTTGGGAGAGGCAGTCTTGGAAAGAAGCAGGCTTACAACTCCTGTATCTGGGTTCAGGGTTTTAGGGTTTAGGGTTTAGGCTTCTGAGGTCGTCTGAAGCTTCCCGCAGGTTTGGGGTTGAGGTTCCCAGCTTCCGTCAGTCAACCTAACCCCACCTGAGGCAACCCGCCGCGATCTCACAGACATTCCACCAGAAGTTCGACCTTTCTACCATAGGAGTCGAACGAAAACATATCGCATGCCCTCGCCGTCCCCCTATGTTATACTATGGCACTACAACATACCGCGAAGCTTTGTTCTCATCATGAAGGCCCCAGAGAGCCCAATGTCCCTTAATTTAGGAATATGGCTTAAACTATATAGGGCTTCATCTTTTTATGATTTTGGTTCCCCATCTCGACACGAGGCCCTCTAGGGTTTCCAAGGTCATAGCAGCTTGTTTTGAAGGTGCCTTCAGGTCTGGAGATAGTTCCAGGTAGTGGTATTTCTCGAAGATCATAGCCATATGCAGCCATACTCTGGATCAGTATTATTCCTCCTCCTGCTGCTACTACTGCTACTACTGCTACTACTGCTACTACTACTACTACTACTGCTACTGCTACTGCTACTGCTACTACTACTACTACTAAGCCCCTTGGCTCCGCCAGGTTGAGACAGAGAGATGTTGTCGAAACAGCGGGACCCTTCCACCCTTAACAGTAACGGGTGCACTAGAAGGTCTGAGTGCCTCAACCTCAACATGGCTGTAGGCTGCATGATGGCTGTGCTTCTTGCCTGTTTGACTCCATCTGCCCCACCATGGCAACAGGGCTCAAACTTTGTGCCACAGTGTCCCAATTGGACAGCATCCAGCCCGTGTGCTTGGCCCAGCACTCAGCATCCGAGGTCTCTTTTACCCTTGTGGCAAGTTGCTAGGTGCACTCCAGAGCAGCTTTTTCCGAGCGCCTTCTGTGCTCAAGCTTTGCTGTCGCATAGCCCGACCAGCCCAGGATGTCACCCAAGGAAGCACGGCGAGGTAACCCGTCGAGGTCGCGATCTGGAAGGCCAAAAGCCAAAGCAACAGTGGCTCCAGAGTCCTCTTCATCTGATAGCCCACCGAGCCCACCGAGCTCAGGCGAGGAGGCCACCGCTCCACCCGTTGCTACCACAAGTGCTCCAGCAGGGCCACCCCCCCCAGTGCCGGTCAACAGGCCAAGAGGCAGCGTTGGATGTGTCACAAGCAAGCCCGCGGGGCCGCCCCCGCCGACTCCGGCACTCTGCACGTCTCTTCCGACAACACCGGTGCAGGCCTTTGCTGCCATGGCTCCAGGGGGCTTACCAGCAGGTGCTCCACCATGCACAGGGCCTATCACTCCTGCAACGGCGGCTGTTCCCACGTTCCCATCGCCTACTACGACCTTGCTGCCTCCTCCGACTGCACCTCCAGCATCGAGTGTCAATGCAGCGGAGGGAGTTCCGGGCATACCAGCTGGACACGTGCAGCAGCAGCCTGCCACTATCACGACCAAAGTGGCGGGCTGGACTTTCACGCTCACGGTTAGGCCACCGAGTTGAGCCACAAGACACCAAGTCTTATGGTGGCCAGGCACGAGCTTTCTGCAGAGCTAGCACCACAGGTGCAAATGACAGCTGTCAGTTCTCTGCCGTCTCTTCCTGTATGCAGACTTGTTGTTTTGTGCCCAGCAGCCTCTCGAGTTGGATTCACAAAAGACGTGCTGTCTTTGTCAGTGTGCTAGTACTGACACCTCTTCGGAGCCAACTGCCACTGCTACCTTGGACTATCCTCCATGCTGACTGTACTGCCCAGGCCGTCCTCATGGCAGGCAGCCAAAGGGGTGCCAACTACAGAGAGGAAGCCCGCTCCGGCCTTTGATCCTCAATCCTCTGGTGGTCCTTCTGAGTGGAACCTGGCCGATCATGCTTTACCTGCCTCCCCAGATCGGGTACTCATCTGGGGAGCCAAAGCCAGGTCACAGCTACCACAACCGCCCTGTGCTCCTGCCTGTACTCTGGATGTGGAAAGATTTCTGCAGAGCTTCTTCAGGACACGGCAAGGCCCAGATGGCACCTCCCTTACCACCTTACTTGGTGACCCAGCCCCGCAACCTGATGGTTGGTGGCGTATCCCGTGGACATTGCTGGGACCATCGCACTGCGAGCTGCTGTGTCAGGATGGTTGGCTACGTGGCTGGCACGGATGCAAGATGGAGGCACTATACTCCATCGTTTACCATGGACAGCTTCTACCGAGCACCGATGAGTCGAAGGGTGACAGGTTCCTGGCAGGCTGTCCAGGGGTGTATCTGCACCGAGACAGCCTGCAACACAAGGTGGAGAACTACATGAGATGGATACCACTATGTGGAGATGGTCTCTTCTGGGCTGCCAAGTGGGAGGTGGTGTATGCTCCCTCGGGGAGCAATAAGCATGGCAAGCGCACTGATCAGGTTATACAAAGTGCTGAATCGGTGGAGCTGGTGGCCCTCTGGCTCTCAGTGCGCTCCGAGAACATGCTGCCTGACGGAACTGCTGTGCAGGCCAAATGGACTCCAGCACGCGAGGCCAACCCATGCCTCACTGAGCTCAAGCGAAGAAGCAGTGCTCTGTTACAGACTGTGGACTTCACGGAACTGTCTGCCTCTTCCAGGCCTTCGCCCAGCTCCAGCTTGAGGTCTGACCTGGTGCTCGACAACAAAGGCCGACTCAAGCCGACGCCTAAAGCACGCGGTCGTTTGTCTCACATCCCTTCTGAACTGGAGAAGGACCGAACGCCAGAACAAGCGAAGCTCACCATACAGTCGGGCAATCTGGTGCTTAAGTCGGCCACAGCAAATAGCTCGGAGACTCCGACTGCTTCGACCACCGTTTCGGCTGCTACCTCGGCCGTCCCGTCAGATCTACCTCAACGAGGACCCAAACGGGCTCGATCTGACGCTTCCTCTCCGAAACCACGGAAGATGCAGACAAGGCCCAAGCCGAGAAGATCGATTTGGTTTGATGTCACGGACAATCCGGCTGACCAACCACCTTCGACCTCCTCAGCTGCAGCCAAAGGCCGCGGCACTGGGACGATCAAGGCCGCCAAGCTCCAAGATCGTGTCCGCAGAAGGATGGCCAGGAAGATGGAGGAAATCTTCCAGGCCAATAGAGCCGCTGGACTTCACACGGACTCGGCTGCCTCATCCAGTGCTGCATACAAGGATCCAGCCTACTGTTCATCATGTCCATGTCTGCATCGGCTTAGCCAGTCTTGCAAGAGGCAACACATGCCCCCTTCACATCGACCTGCCATGCTCCTTGTCTTCGCTCTTCTAAGGTCTAGCCTACCGGTGGCTCCGGAAGACCAAGATGACACAGGCGGGGATCGATTTACTGAGCGCCCGGAGTTGCAGACCTCTGCACCTAGGTTCGGGCAGCAACCTAGGTGGGTTCCCTGCTCACAGACCTTTGTTGCTCCCTCCACCAGTCACTGCCTGCAACATTTGTGGCTATCAGGCTTGTATCTTCCGACATGTCGGATGCCCGACGGCACGCCCGGATCCTTGCAGGTCCCTTCGTTAATCTACTGGGGCTTTGAAAGGCACCTGAGCTCTTTCCCATGTGCCTATCCAGGTCTTGAACGCCCAGTGTGCACATCCACCACAATGCCAGTCGGGCTCACATGGACCTACGGTGCCTCCCCACACCGTGATGATTATCGATGTGCCGTGCCTCGAGGTATGTCAGCTGCACTGGCAACAGGCCCTACTTTGTTGCATGCTTATTGTACTCGTGATGTTTGCTCAAGACAACACACCTGGCAGGGGTGGCCTGACGCTTTCCTGACTGACCGACCTGAACATTGTCTGGTGTGCCTTCGACACACCAGACCATCTGCTGCTGGTCCTGCTTCGGTTCGATGCCCACCTCCACCACCAGGAGCTGGTTTGCAACCCGACGGGCTCTCAGGTCTTGAGACTGCCACTCCCAAGCGGATGATAGCTCCATCTCGCGGTTCCCTTAGCTTGCCTTCAGGTCTGTCTTCGCCACTGGGCGCAGGCCAGTGGGTCGAGCAGGCATCACTTCGGGACACCTACCTGTCCAATTTGTGCAGGATATCCCGGGCACGTGGCTGGCCTATCGTCTGGCGGACCCATGCTGTGAGTGGTGTCGGCTTGAATACCGTAGATGTACCCCCTATGCCACCCGTATGCAACAAACTAGCACCTCGCAGGCTAACAAGATCAGATCCCGCGAGCCTGTTTCTGCCGAGCAGTTGCAACACAAAGTCTCCCCCCCGGCACTGGACCTGCACACTATGGATTAGCTGCGTAGACAGTCTGCTGCACCGCACTTCGAAGTCGATGCCAGCATTTTTGACAACATGGACAACTAGCACTCCCAAGTGCCCCTCTCATAATCTCAACATACCTGCCCTGAGCCACTCCGGTCCCAATTCCGGAGACCGACATTTTCGTACGGCTGACAACCTGTCATCTCTCAGACACCAGCTGGTTGTCCATCTAGCCTCCGAACAGTCGGTAGGGGCGAGGGTTGTGAGCGGCTGCCACCCGCTCACGAGACCGAAACTCACCTTTGTGGTGAGGGACGGGAAGCCGTGGCAGGAGCCCAATGAACTACACTCTGCTGTGAGGGCAGTCTTGCGAGACCCCCCACCATACCACACTAATCTCTCTAATCCAGAGGTCATTCTAGGCATCACCTGCTCCCCTAGCCTGACCTCCTCCTTGTTCTTAGTCATCTGTTCATCGTGGGTTGGTTCGAGCGACCCGACTGCAGGCCCCTGTGGCATGCCACATAACATGGACAAGCTGCTGCCAGGATATACTCCACCGCAGCCAAAGCCCCGGTACTTCTTCCTCTGCAAACAGGGTCTCCCTGTTCGTCTTGTTGCCATCTGGGCTCCAGCACTTCTACATCTTACCTCTCCTGGCCTTCCTCGTTCTAGGAGGCCTCTCCCTGGAGTACAAACACCAACACCTGCCACTCGACCTATCCACACTGCTGACAGGTATTGCCCTCCGTCGACTACGAATCGATCCAGTCAGACCCCGGGCACGACGACGTACCCTAGGCTATGCCCTCGCCCTATCCTGTTCCTCTCGACTCTGCTGGCTCTCCCAAGGTCGATCTGGGGAGTGCCATCTGCACACCCCCTGCACACTACAGTAGCGCGTCACTCAGGGACCCTCAGTCAGGCTACCGTCAATTCCAATGAGTACACATTTGCCAGGAAGCGATCCTACAAACGTGCCTTACGTCGTGCTGCACAGGACCAGGCCCAGCATACGATTTATCGAGGTCGTGTCTGTACTCTGCAACAGCTTTGCAAAGGCTATCGGGGCCATCGACCCGCCCCCCAGGCTGAGCGTCGTATGCAGCAGGCCGCTCTGAAAGTCTCCCAGGGACGCCTGTTGTTCCTCTCATGGAATGCTGGAGGACTGTCCCAGGCCCTGTGGCAGGAATTCTTGTTAACACTTGAAAATATGCCACCTGACGAACGACCCCAGATCGTGTGTGTTCAAGAAACTCATTGGACGGATAAGGTGGCGCCACAATTCCCCACTGCTACATGGGATGTGTACACCTCCCCAACCACAGACAACAAATCTGCTGGGCTCCTGATTCTCCTCAACAAGCATACTACCCGTAACTGCAGAATTGTTTACGCCGACCCACAACCGGGCAGGGTGCAACACCTGAGGATACTCCACGACCAATGGGCAGTTGACCTGCTGCACATCTACCAAAAGCCGCACAACTCTCATCCACTCGCCCTGCAATCCTCCAAAACCATTCGCTTAGCTGTCTGGGAGTGCATTGGTAAGATCCTGGCGGCTCTACCTGCCCGCAACACGGTGATCATGCTTGGAGATTTTAATACTCAGATCAAGCCGTGTGCCGCAGCTGGCACCAGGATCTGTTCAGGCACCAGCACGGGCACACATCCGCCTGATCAGGCACGGTTGCAGCATCTTGTCGAGGACTTCTCCCTCCTACACCTCAACTCATGGTGCAAGGCGGCTGGCCCCACGTACCATCACAACAAAGGTGCTAGCCTCATTGACCATATCATCATGCGTTCCAGCCAAGCGGATGATCGTGCCCGGCAGGCGAGACCTCTCCGCCTGGGACTGGCTGCATGGAGACTTGGTGGATATCACCTACCACTGAAGGCCAGCGTCCCGCTTCAGCGCTTCCACACTCTTAACAAACCGGTGGCACCACAACGAGCATGGGACCATTGGGGCCTGATTCAGGTTTGCCGCTCTACCTGGGATCCGCGGGTTCAAAGTCTGCGTTCTGCTGTTCAGGCGTCCCTGCCTGGGGTCAATGACCTTGGGCAACTGCATGACACTCTGATCCACTGTGCATCCCAATCTTTCCCGCCGCCCGCAGGACAGCATCGGCTGGCACTATGGCAAACACCGCCTATGCAGGATGGTATTCGCTCCATGTGGCAGGCCTACCGAGTCTGGAAGACAGCCAAAGCTCAAGATCAGCACAATCCGCTTTATGTCTCCAGGTGCTATCATCACTTCAAGACGGCACACAAGGCCTTTCGTCGTGCCGGGAAAGAAGCCAAGAAGCACTGGTTCCATGGCAGGCTCCAGGAACTACAAGCTGCTGCCAGTTCGGGTGACTCCCGCAAGCTTTATGCTGGCATACGCACACTAGCTCCCAAATCCTCCAAGCCGAAGGTTCAATTGCGAGATTCTGGTGGACATCTGCAAGACCCCAAGACCCAGCTTAAACAGCTGGAAACGCACTATCGCAAATTATATGCTGCAGACGAGGACACCAGCATCCAGGGCCCCCAGCGGACGCCCATTCACATCGAAGTCACGGAGGCAGAAATGACCCTGGCACTTTCGCAATTGTCACCCCACAAAGCTACACCTCCGCATCTAGCCACAAACTCTCTATGGAGGCTGACCTCGGACCTTGTTGCGCCTCTCTTGTGCCAATGGTGCCGGCAATGGCCTCAAATACCAGAGCTTTGGCGAAATGCATGGTTGACTCTTGTTCCCAAGATTCCGCGACCACTTTCACCAAAGAATCTCAGACCGATAGGGTTAACTGAATCCAGTGGCCGCGCATATGCTTCCATACTGCAGGCGAAATTGCGCCCCTATGCCGAGAGGTTCCTTGCGGATCAGGCACAATTTGCATATTTGCCAGGTCGCAATGCTGCCCAAGCCATACATCGGGTTGCTGCACACTGCAAATATGTCCAGGATCGCTGCTCGATTTCAACACCTACGGTTGTTGATCGTCACGCTCAACAGCCGAAACCCTGCCCACATTTTGCAGGTGCACAACTATCGCTGGACCTGTCCAGTGCTTTTGACCTCATGGACTGGCGCCTGCTGGACAAGGCTTTACTTGCGTCCGAAGTTCCGGCTGAGTTAAGACACCAAATCATGTCCTGGCACTCTGAGATCTCCTATGTCCTTACCCACCTTGGGCACACTGCCAAGGTGGAGGCCCAAAGAGGACTTAGACAAGGGTGTAAACTGGCTCCGTTGCTCTGGACCCTCGCCCTGGCACAGATATATCGTGAGCTTCTTGCCGAGGGGGACCCGCTCCTCACAGCACCTTGGCTAGAGCAAAGCTCCACGATTTATGCAGATGATATACACCTCAAGGATACCGTGCAGACTACTCGTGAGCTGGACGACATGGTGTATCGCTTTAGTAAGATCCTCGATGCTCTTGCCGCCCATGGTATGGTCATCAACTCGGCCAAATCAGCATTGCTACTGAGACACAAGGGCAGTTTCATCAGGGGCTGGCTGCGCCGACACCTCATACCCAAACCCGAGGGGGATCTACTCCGCTTTCGCAGCCCCCTGGGAACGGTGTATGAAATTCCGTTGCGTGACCATCACACGTACTTAGGCATACGCATCTCATATCATTCCCAGGCCAAACAAGCAGTCACCTATCGGCTACAGGCTGCGAACCAGGCATGGCAAAGACTCCGTGGTGTACTGTGCTCCACCAGGCATCTTGCTCAGACACATCGTCTCAGTCTATGGAAATCCACAGTGCTTCCCACGCTGCTCTATGGCATAGCGGCATCCAACCCAGGTGCCAAGGACATCCAACGTACGCAGCACATGATGACCAAGCAGGTTCGAGCCATCACCCGATCCTTTGCACATCTTCAGAAAGAATCCACACAGGACCTTTTGCATAGATGCTCCCTGTCCACCATCTTGGAGCATCTGCAGAGGGAAGCCGCTGCCTTGCATCGTAGCCTGACCAGCCTGAGCACCGAAACGAGCTTCGTGACCCAAGCTCAGGTGGAATCAGCTCGAGACACTGCCGCTACACTCCACCTTCAAGTGCAACGTCAATGGCAGGTACCTCTTGGGGACACAGAAGGTATCACTGACCCTGCCGTACACCAGTGCCAGGAATGTCATCGGGTCTTTACCTCCTTTCGGCTCCTCCGCTCTCACGAGGCTAAGTGGCATGGACTCAAAACACCTGCTGCTGTCCCGGTGCCTTTTGACAGGTATGCACATGGAACAGAAGGACTTCCAACGTGCAGACACTGCGCCCATCCCTTCCGACAATGGGACGGCCTTGTCAAGCACATTAAACGCAATCGGTGTCAGGTACTCCGTAGACTTGCTACACAACCTCCTGCTGATGCCCAACCCTTGGCTCCGAGCTCCAATGAATCCGATCCTTTACCAGTCCCTGCCCCGGCAATCCTGCCACCTCAGGACCTCTCTCAGGGGACCTACATCCTGTCAGACGATCAGGCTGCTATGCCCCCTCCTACTCCTGCCGTTATACCTGAACCCCCTGTCTTAGACGCTCCCCTGCAGGACAGCTCCACTACGCCGAGCCATGAGGCTGTTCCTCTTCATCAGCAATCTCATGTTCTTGAGACACTACGTGCACGCAGGTGGACTGACCTCCTTGAGAAACCGGAGATCTACTCGTATCTCCAGCACCACTGCCCGCTGTGTTACCAGTGGCTAGCCACTCCTACCAGCATCAAGTATCATCTCACCATGCAACATCCAGAGTGGAAAGACTGCCAACCTGCGACTCTCAAGCTTCTTACTGGTTTCCGCCGACATACTGTTGTTCCATGTCGCTACTGTCATCAGCGAAACATCAACAAAGATCGTCATTGGAAACAGTGTCATGTCTTGCATATCTGTGCATTTCTAGCAGCGCACCATGACGCTCTGCGCGGATCCCATGGAGCTGGACGAACAGGAGAGGCAATTTTGGGCCCAGGCCGGTCCGGTCAAACGGGAACAGGAACCGAGAAGAGATGTGCTGCATCAAACCGAGCACTCCAAGAGGCAGCGTCTGGCACCACAGGACCGGAACAAGGGCAAGGGCAAGGGTACCAAGGGCAAAGGCAAGGGAAAGCAGGGCCTACCAAGTCCATCCAGTGCAAACCCGGTCACGGGTTACACAAATGGTTTCGGAAGCCATCCACCCAATCCTTGGACACAGACTCAGGACCTGCAGCCACTGGGAAGTCAAGATCCAGACTGGATGGAGTACAGGATGAATCGACTCTCTCAGCTGGTCCTTCGTCAGGAGCAAATCATCTCAGCCATCCGTCAGGATCTGGTCCTCTACCTCTTTGTACGATCAGGACCAGAAGGGATGGTACCAGTTCTCTGCGAAGCAGCGGAGAAGTGGAGGAAGATGAAAGAGGAAGAACCCGAGAAGATTACTTACTCCCTCAAACTCATGCTCTTCAAGCAGCTGCTCATCACCCTACACCAGAGGTTGACCAACATGATCGCGGACGAGGATGCTCTCGCCAAAGCCAAGAACCTGAACTGGATCGACGATCAGAAACATTGGAAACATCTCACATGGAATCCTTCCAAACAATGTCTGGAAGTCGACAACTCGGTGAGGCCAATACCGGCGGAGGATCTGTTGGCTCAACTGGTTCAGATGAGGAAGGCAGTTACGGAAGAGACCCTGGTGAGGTTCAAGTCCATGCGGAAGCTCACCACGGAGGTGACCTCCGACTGGATCCAATTCCAGATCTGCATGTCACTTCGCCCAGAGGGAGGAGCCATGTGGAGCACGCTGAACCAGTGGATCGGACAAGCATCGTGGCACACCCTGGGATGCAGGCTCCGTCGCGATCGACCGAACTACGACACCCTGGTTCAGGAAGTGTGGCAACATCAGATGCCATACTGAGTGCGCGCCCTAGTCTCAAGGCCGTCCTTCGATTGATTTTCCACAATCCATCAAATCTGTGCTACCTACACTCTACCATCTATGCCCTTCTGTGGACAATCCTTCAGGCTAGGCTGCATGATGCCTACGTCTCGCCTCCACCGCAGGCTCTTACCATGCTGTGTCCACCAATCACTGCCACACCTAATTGCCCTATTCAGGTGCTCCATTCGGTACCGTGGCTTATGCTGCTGCAAGCTTGGCCTTCTGTACATCGTCAGCATGATGCAGCTGAGCTGTTACAATACCTCTTACCCAGGTTCTCGCATAGTGGGTTCAATGGTGGCTGGGAGGCCAGAAACTTCGTACCTGGAGGTATTGCCACTCTTGACACGGGGCCTACCCAAGCTCCCATCCCGATTGCGCTACCGGCAGGTCCAAGCTTGGAGCTCCAGGCAGCCATTGATGGGTGGAGTGCTCAGATTACAGCCCGTTATGCACTGCTGACTCCGTCTCCCATGCTCTGCATACAACTTCAGCGCTTCACGAATGCCGAGGGAGTCATGCGCAGGGACACCAGACCACTGGTTGTGGCCTCGACTACAGTTCGTATGCCACTCTTTACAGGTCTGCACACCATGCAAGTTCGCTATGTTCACTACCAGGTCGTCGCTGTACAGCTTCACTACGGGGCCACTCCTGATATGGGGCATTACAGAACTATCCTACGAGGACAACCGCTGTTTGGAGCAGAAAAGTGGTGGATCACTGATGACTCCTGCACCGCAAAGCCAGTCAGCACAGAACACGATGACAACATATACATAGTGTGGCTACGTCAGGTACTACCTCCTGGTGCCTGACGCTGAGCAAGTGTAGTCTTAGTCGATGGAGCTGGCACTGCCCTCCAGAACCCAACAGAGGTTCCGATACCCCGAAAACCGGGTTATCGTCAGCTCGCTAGGCGAACCCGGACACTTCGCTGCGTGGTGAATGCTACTACTACTACTACTACTACTACTACTACTACTACTACTACTACTACTACTACCACTACGACTACGACTACGACTACGACTACGACTACGACGACGACTACTACTACGACGACGACTACTACTACTACTGCTACTGCTACTGCTACTACTACTACTACTACTACTACTACTACTACTACTACCACTACGACTACGACTACGACTACGACTACGACTACGACTACGACGACGACGACTACTACGACGACGACGACGACTACTACTACTACTACTACTACTACTACTACTCCTGCTGCTGCTGCTGCTGCTGCTGTTGCTGCTGCTGCTGCTGCTGCTCCGACGACTACCACCACCACTACAAATACTCGTGATAATAGCGAGACTTTTATCACCAAACAATTGTAGTGGTAACAATATCCGTATCAAAAATGATAGCAACATAATCGCGATCGTGACTACCCATACTCGAGGGGGGTACCGCAGTGAGAAGCAGTCCCCAGCTAGGCACGACGGTTCCAACAGCAGTCGCACGAGGAGACGTGAGAACCGGCTTCGGGCTTCGGGTTCAGGGCTTTAGGGTTTGAGTGTTTCGGGTCTGAGTCTTGGGGGTGTAAGGTTGGAGCTTCATGATTCCCATCAGTTATCAGGAAAAAGCGGTGCCTTTGTTGGGTTGAGGGATTTGCGGTTCGGAGTTTGGCGTCTGGGGGTAGTGTCTTCAGGTTGAGAGCCTTGCTTATGTGGCTTTAGGGCGGCGGGGAAAGGCTCCTTTGGGTCCGTCGGGAGCTTAAGGCTTGGAGCACCGGAAGTTTGGGGCAAACAAGATGGGCCAAAGCGACCCAGAGCTAGAATGCGCGCCCCTCAAGGCCAAAGCCCTAAACCCCAGAGCCGCCCCAAAGCCCGCCGCAAAACCTTAAAGTCCCAACTTTCATCCAAGACTCTAAAGCCCCGACGTCCTAGACGCTGGACATTAAAACCGTTGCAGCCCTACGCCCACAGACCTAACACCCAAAGCCCTAAATCCTAAACCCTAAGCCCAAAACCTAAACCCGAAGGCCCAAACCCTAAACCTAAAACCTAAACCCTAAACCCAAACTTCAAGCCCTAAACTTAGCCCTAAACCCAAACCTTAATAAACCCTACACCCTGAACTCCACTAGACCAAAGCTCAAGCCAGGTCAAAAGGCAGAGCTTGCATGCATGGTTCTGGGTTTAGGGATTAGGGTGTTAGAGCTTGGGGTCTTAGGGTATTTCGGGGGTTAAGTACTTAAGGCTTGCGGCTTGAGGGGTGTCAGGTTTTCGGGTGCAGAGGTTAGGGCTTCTGAGGATTTCACACAGATGCTGAACAGCGCAGTCACCGAATTCTGTGCCCCTGGGCTGCAAGTGCCTGGTTGAAACAGTGCAGTCTTATTCCAAAAGTGTTTGATGCAGGGGCCTTAATAATTAGAACAGGATTTGGGGTTCCTTATTTCAGTTATAGCATAGTATACGCCCAAACCCTCTTCCAATTATTAAGGCCCCTATGTTAGCGTGCGACCATCCCCAGCGCAGTTCCAGAACTACGAAGCACGACAACCCCCCAAACCGTGAGCCCCCAAACACAGAGGTTTGCGGTATTCTGCCTGAAAGGTTGGAAGGCACATGTAAGTTTCTGCTCAGAAATTTCGGGTTTAGGGTTGAGGGGTTCGTGGTTTTGGGGGTTTGCGACTTTAAGTTGTAGGCTTTTCGGCTTCAGCGCTTCGGGTCGAAGGCCTTCATCAACCGTAAACCCCAGACGCTTAAAGCCCTAAACTCTCAGCCCAAAGCCCTTAAAGCCAACGATACCAGTCTTGAAGAACTCCGCTTGCTTTGGTGTTCAAGTGCGATTGGTGTTAGAGTTTCTAGCTTTAGGATGTTAGGAGTTCAGGATTTGGAGTCAAGGGTTTCGGGTGTGGGATATCGGGTTTAGGGTTGTAGAGCTTTTCGGGTTGAGGGTCAAGTGAACGTGTGACGTTTTGCAGCGTGAAGGGTTTCTAATCCGATGCCGAAGTGCGCTGTATATATATATATATATATATATATAAACCCGAGCAGTAGGCCCTAAACCCTACACCCTACGCCCTATACCCTAAACCCGCAAGCCCAGGCCCAAAGCCTCCGCATGAATAATCCTTCTTGAGACCCCAAACAGCTTCACATTTACGCGCCCGGAATCTGTCAATCTGCAACGCACCCCTTCACGTTTCCACGCCATAAGCCCTGGACCTGAACGACTAATGCTTCGAGCTCTCCGTGAAAAGTTAGAGCAGCTTTGTCTTCAGCAATCCGTCTGTTTTGCATCCCTTACAGGTAATTAGTATGATATGCCCAGCCCCACCCGCCTCTTGTAACTCATGTCTGCGAAAGGCTAAGACCCCAAAGCGTAGAGAACACCAGTTTCAGACTGATCCGAGGTCTTCGTACTCATCCTACTGGTGCCTTGGGCACTGGAGTTCTTTTTGCAGACTCTTTGCCGCAGGTGTCGGAGTAGTTTCGCGTTTTGCGGCGTGGATGTAAGTGTTCAGCCTTCAGGGTTGGGACTGGCGGCCTTAGAGACCCCAAACCCCAAACCTTAAACCTCTAGGGGTTTAGGGAATAGGGTTTAGGGTTTAGGGTTTAGGGGTTTAGGGTTTAGGGTTTATGCCTTAACCTGCTCGCGAGACCTTTCATCTGGCATCTCTGGCCGAGGAAGTGGATCAGCGCCATCGTTGCGGCTTCCGATCTGGAGCGCTTGCACCCTCCACTCAGTATAGAGTATAGGGTTCAGGCTAGGACAAGGGTTTTAGGTTTCAGAATTGTGGGGAGACAGAGCCCAGAAAGGCAGCAAACAAGGCTCTGCTTGGGACCTTGTGAGAACAAGGCATTTGCACCTTGTAGCAAGAGAAGACGACGACGGCGGCTGCTGCTACCACTTCTCCTACTGCTACTACTGCCTTTGCTGCTACCACTACTACCACCTCTCCCACTACCACTACTAATACAGCTACTACAGCTACTACTCCTACTACTACTACTACTACTACTACTACTACTACTACTACTACTACTACTACTACCACTATTACTACCACGACGACGACGACGACTACTACTACTACTACTACTACTGCTACCAGTGCTACTTCTACTACTGCTACTGCCACTACCACTACCACTACTACTACTACTACTACTACTACTACTACTACTACTACTACTACTACTACTACTACTACTACTACTACTACTACTACTACTACTACTACTACCACTATTACTACACTACGACTACTACTACTACTACTACTACTGCTAGTGCTACTTCTACTACTACTGCCACTACCACTACTACTACTACTACTACTACTACTACTACCACTACTACTACTACTACTACTACTACTACTACTACTACTACTACTACTACTACTACTACTACTACTACTGCTACTGCTACTGCTACTGCTACTACTACTACTACTGCTGCTGCTACTACTACTACTACTACTACTACTACTACTTCTACTGGTGCTACTACTACTGCTACTACAACTGCTACTGCTACTACTGCTGCAGCTTCTTTTTCTACCTCAACTTCTACTACTGCTTCTGCTGCCTTTACTACTTCTACTACTTCTACTACCGCTAATGCTTCTACCACCAGTACTGCTAGTGAGTCGTCGCGTGCAGGATATGGCTCTCCGTGCTGCGAAGTCTGTGATCAGGAGCAGTTGCGATGCAGAGGCCGGCGACGCTTGGGAGTTTAAGATCGTCGGATTCTTTAAAGCAACTTGTAGGGGCGCTGCACGGGTTCTATAATGCTTCGATGCGGTTTCTGTAAGGCTTCTCCGTCTGGATTTATGTCGTTGCAGGTCCTGGATTGAGAGTTTCGGGCATGGGGTTTGCACACCAGACTTCTCGTTTTGCAGAGTTGTCGGGCGTCGACGCTGGTTCAGAAGTTGCAACTTGGTGCTCAGGTTCACGGGCTTGCAGTTTAGAGTCTATAGGGTTAAGGGTTTAACGCTCAGGGACCGCAAGGGTGGGTGGCGGCTTTCACTCCGGGCCCAGGAGCCCGAAACTTTGGAGCCCCACCTGAAAGAAGCCGAAAGCCCAGGCGCAGCAGGTCAGGTTAAGTGAAGACCAGTGGCCTCAATATGCAGCTTTGAAGTAGCGGCCTAACTCATAAATCCCTAAATGCTGGAGGCGTTGAAGGCTAAACCTCAGAGGGTCCCCTTGAAGGCCTTGCACCCTGAGCACCCAACGACTCCCAAAAGGCCCCACACCCTAAACCCTACACGCCACCCCCTAGAGCCCTGGAATATAATGATGATGTTTTGAACCCTGTAAACACTAAACCTAAACCCTAAACCTTAAGCCCCTAAACCCTAAGCCGCAAGAGACTTGTCTTTCCAGGCCGAGCTCAGTGCCGACCTACATCTGCAGCAGGTTTCATCCAAGCTGGCTCACCTCCGCATCTTGGGCTCAAGGGTTTTTGGGGTTTTAGGGTTTAGGGTTTAGGGGGACTTGTAAGAGGGTCCTGGCTGGGTTTAGGGTTCAGGGCTTCAGGGTTTGCAGTTTCGGGCTGGGCATGTGAGGTTTGGGGTTTAGGGGGTTCATACAGTCCCGCGCTTTGGGTTTCGAGTTCGCGGTGCATTTGTTTGTCATCACAGCCATGCAAATCCTCGTGATCATAAGTACAAGGCCCAGGCTACGGGTACAAACAGTAGCAACGAAGTCACTCTCCCCCAACCACTAGGACGAAAACTTGTAATGTTCCTTACACAAACCTTACGCATGTCTGAACCGCTAGTACGCACGGCTGCAGCAACAGTAGTAGAATCGTGGATCGTAGGTCTGCGGGAGCAATTTGTAATCAACCCCAAGAGTTAAAGCCACACGAACGTAAACACGAGGAAAACCAGTATAAACAGCAAGAACACTGCAGATCACAGGGAGGAAGTAAGAAGAGCCAGAGGAGGCATATAGCAGCAAGAGTAGGAATGGCATGAAGTGTGCAGTGGTTGAGAGTAATCACAAGAGCTCTTGACCGGCTTGAGCCGAGACCCTGAGCCTGAAAAGGGTTTAGAGTTGAGCGGAGTCGTCACTTATTTCTGGCATGGTAGGAAGCCAGGGCTGCGGTACTTTGGACCCTCTTGAGGAGCAGCCATCTTCCCATGAGGCCTAGTGCAGGGCAGGCTCCACATCCCGACTTCTGGTTAGTGCAGTTCAGAACAGCCCGCAGGCCGTCGGGTGATTTGTACTATGAAAGGTATACTATCTGAGTAGTGCAAGACAAGATGCTCATCTAGTTACAAGCTCTGCGCGGCAGACCCCGAAAAGCCCGCAACAGCAAAACCTAAATCCAACAGTAAGCATATGAGACAGAACAGCCCCGACAGAAAGGCAACGCATTCATTCTATTGAATGTGGAAGTCCCCTCCACCCACCGTAAGAAGGCAAAACTCCTAGTTGGTCGGCAGCCTCACAAAACCCTGACTCGACCGTAAAGCCTAAACCATCCAAGTTGGCCGGCAGCCTCATGATCTCGAGGGACAAAACTTCGGCGAGCTGCTGAACGAGGATTCGCCCTCAGACTCGCTAGACCTTAAATCCTGATCCTAAACCCCAAGCCCTAAACCCTTGAATCCTAAAGCCTAAACCCAAAGCCCTCAACGTTAAACCCAGAAGGAAACCCTAAACCCTAAACCCTAAAACCCTAAACCCCTAAACCCTAAACCCTAAATCCCTAAACCCTAAACCCTAAACCTAATTAGCCCAAAGCGACCGACCTGCATGTTGTGAGGTATGGTTCGGCAGTGCGAAACTAGGGTCTCCGAAGAAATTGATCTCTTGTGTTGGTTTTTGCAGCTTTCCGACTCTTTGGGGTTACTATAGGGAGGCCTTGATGAGTACCTATACTATTGTGGGGAGGTTCTCATTATAGTTATAGTATACTTATAGTGGGCCCCAGAACCCTGTTCTAATTATTAAGGCACCTAATACAACCCTAAACCCTAAATGACCCTAAAACCCTAAAACCCTAAACCCTAAACCCTAGTATGAGCTCCACCCTGAACTCGAAAGCCTCCCCTTGCCGAAGATGGTTTTTCCCCACTTCAATCCCTGAACCCTCAGATGTAGTAGCTGAGTAGGTAGCCCTGAACCCTTTGGGGCTTGGTGTTCGCGGGTTTAGGGTGTGGGGGTTTAGGGCTTTGGGGTTTAGATTTTGGGGTGTAGGGGTTTCACTGGGGTTGATATAATCCTACCATGATTGCGAAGGTTACCCTTTTTTGGGCTAGGGTACTCAGCCCCGAAGAAAACCTTGTGCACGACCATGGATGGAAGGAGAGCAGACAGCGCTTTACGGCATGCTGTGAGGGTGTGACGAACTCAGAAGGTCGTTCCTTTCGGTGGTTTGAGGTTCAGTTTTCTTTTTGGAATTCGACGTCTAGGCTTCAAAGTTTGGAGATTGGGGTCACGCTTCAGCAACCTAAGCTTAAGGATGTGGGAGTTGTATGTCAGACTCAGGGTAATCTTGAGTTGAGTACGGTGATAAAGCAACATCTTGGAGGGTGATGTACACTCTGGGCATTGCTATTCAGGGCTCCGGTGAGAGCTTAATGTTCCTGGACCAGGAAGCCTCAACTACACAGCAACCAAGACGCCAGCCCCGAGCCGCACGATATCCGTTTATTAGCGACCCAGGATTTTAGGGTACTTGGGTTTATGAAGAGCCTAAGCCCTAAGCCTTTAAACCCTCAGTTGCTTTTATTGGGCGGAACCCGATGATCAGAGACCTTTCCTTCATGTTTGAGGTTTTGAGATACAGCTGAGCCGGAAGCGTTTGGGGTCTAGGAAAATTTAGGGGTTCAGGGCTTGAGGGGTTCGGCGGTTTAGAGGGTTGGCAGTTTGCATGCAACTGAACAGCAATCCTCCCCCGGCCACAAGGCATTTGAGGGCTGTCTTCTTAGATAGTGCGGTTGGGGCTTCAGTGTGAGCTTGAGGTTTGAGAGTTTAACCCCTCATGTAGGAATGTTTCTTGTTTAGGGTTGGAAACGGGGTACTTCGTAAGGCTTTGCAGATGGTTGCAGGTATCTGGGGTTGCAGCGATGTCGCCCCGTGCTTGAATCTCCTTAAGCCTTACGTCATAAACCTTGAACCGTATACCTCAAACAGAACCACTTGTGAACTGTGAAGCCACAAGCCTTACGGCAAGCAACGAAAACCCTTGTTTCTTAGGCGGACAGTTTGAATCCGTCTGCCGTGCACCTCACGGTCACTGCGATTGCTGGTGGCTGTCCGAAGGCGCAAGTCCTGAAGCCTCACCTCTCCTTGAGACCTCGCTCTAAGCCCTGGGCCTTAAGAGCAAACGCTTCATCAGCAACCCCGAGGGCCGGAGTAAGTGCAGGTCTCATAATCAACCCCAACCCCCAAAATGGAACAGCTAACTGTCGCATGCCCCTTGCCTTCAAAAAACAAATCCATTATAGAGCCCTCATAGATCCCTTGTAGACTGCGGCTACAGCCCCTACAAGTACGGGGCTTTAGCATCTCGGGGTTCGGCTTTCCTCTGACGTGCTGCCTCGAGATGACTTTCGGTTAAGCGGATTATAAGTGGGTAAGGGAGGGGGTGTTAGGGGTCATGGGTTTTGAGGTTTTAAGATTTAGGGGTTTAGGGGTTTCAGGGTCTAGTGTATTGAGTTGTGTGAATTAGGGGTTCGGTGTTTTGGGATGCAGGGTTTTCGGTTTTGGGTTTTGGAGGAGGTGTGTGGTGTATGGGAGTTTGGAGGTTCGGGGTTTAGGTTTGGGGTCCGTCCGGGGTGTAGAGGGGCTTCAGGGTTTTGCGTTGATGGTTTGTGGTCGACAGGTCTGATAGGTTCGCATGAAGCTTTAGGCTTTAGGTGATGAGGCAATGTCGAGGCAGAGCATTGGGTATCTTGGGCCGAAATAGCTAGGTTGCAGGAGTCTTTGCATCCAATGCCAATGCATGTGTGCCGAACCCACAGTGCAAGCCCAAGCGTAAGTACCCATGCCGAAGCCCCTGATGCTCTAGTTTCACGTAAGCCGTGATAATAATATAGGGGCCTGAATAATTACCTATACTATTTTGGGGGTTCCTTATTATATTTATAGTATAATGGGCCCCTATTCTAATTATTAAGTGCCCCTATACTATAGTACCCTTTTGGATCCCTTTCAGAACCCTTTAAGGATCCCTGGAGAGGAACCCCGTATTCTAAGTTTTAAGGGCCCCTACACTACCTCAAACAGCCGAACCCTGAATTCCCAAGAGCCCCGGGAGCCTGGAGCTCTGGAACGCAAAGCTCGGAATCACTGAAAAACCACCCTTTAAGGTATATAGGGTTCCTTTAAAGGGGTCTATAAGGGCTACGATAAGGGCTATTATACGGGCTTGATATTGGGGGCCTTAATCATTAGAATAGGGGTTCCTGTAAAGGGATCCTTAAAGGGAAACTAGAAGGCATCTATAGTAGGGCTCTATACAGCGGCCTTAGTAATTAGAGCAGGGGTTTGGGGCGGGGCCCATACTATACGTATAGTATAGGTAATTATTTCGGCCCGTATATTAGGCATCTGTTAAGAAGGTGCCCGGAATCAAGCAATGTTTTGCTGCCCCACATCGGACAGAAACCTCATACAGCCCGTTTAAGGCCTTTCAAACTACAAGTTCAGGGATAGTCGAGTCTTATCCACCAAAGTATAAAGCCCCAAACAACCTTCAACAAAACCAACCCTAAACCCGAAGCCCTATACAACCAAAAGGGTGGTCATCAAAATTATGGTCACTGTTTGGGTCCATATTATAATACGGCACCGCATATTCAGGGTTCCCAAAAAGGGACCCTAATTTTGACAACCACCCATATAAAAGCCGAAAGCAGCTAAGTGCAAGGACTTAGAGGTCCGGATATGCAGCTTTTCATTGAGCCGAGGAGCAGGGGGACTCATTGGTTCCGGGGCTTTAGGGGTAGGATGCTGGCTTCTTGTTAAGGACTTTAGTTTAAGATACCATATTGGGGATCTATAACAAATAATATGGTTTCCTTATTATGGTAGCTTACAGTAGAAGCCAGAAAGTTGGAATATCATTATCGTAACCCCTTTAAGGTAAATTATAGGGGATCCTACCATAAATCCATATTCCAACTGTCTGGAGTTCCCTTTAGGGGTAGGATACAAGAACTACGACTACGACTACTACGGTTGCTGGTATAAATATGGGTGTAGGGTTTAGGGTTTAAGGGTTGATGATGTAAATCCTGCATGACCTTAAGGACCCTAAACTATGGGAATTATGGTATATTCTTTATTATGGATAATGTAGGATTTATATCATCAACCGTAGGGGCTCCTTGATGTTTAGGGTTCAAGGTTTAGGGCTCTGGAGTTTGGGGCCTTTAGGGATGTTGGGATGTTTGGGGCTTTGGTGTCGGATGGTGTTGGGCTTGGGGGATCTAGGGTTGTGGGCTTTAGGGCTCTGGGCTTTTGTTTGGGTTTGCGGCTTGGGGTTTCGGGTTTTGGCTTTTTGCCTTGTTGTGGGTTCACGGTTTGGGCCCTCGGGTTTCGGCTTCTTTTGGCATCGGGGTGGTTCAGGGTTTCAAAAGTTTCTCTCTCACTCTCCTAGGGTTTAGGGTTTAGGGTTTAAGGGCTTGGGGCTGTACTACTCGGTGAGTCTCTCACTCAAATTTGGTTGAGCCGACATTTCGGCTCGTCGCCACCCTTTGCCAGCATTCGGGCATTCGGTGTCTTACCTTTTCAACCAGCCCTACAGTCTAAGCCCTACTTGGAGGCCCTAGTTACTAAGTCCCATGATCCTTTAAGTAACTCAGTCACGGTCTCCATCTCAGCTGTGGGTGCAGGGGCTTAGACATATTCCGATGTATAGCTGCCGATATTCAGTCAAGGATAAACACGTAGGGTTGATGCGCGGTTTTGGCGTTGGGTCCAGGCTTTGGGAAGCTTGAGTTCGCAGTTTTAGGGCCTGTGCACAAGCTTGTTTCTCGCCCCAAGACATGAATCCGTGACACAAGAAGCTGGGACCGTGGGAAACGTCTGAACACCTTTAAACTTTAATCCCCAAACGACTTCGGGCTTAGGGAATTCCTTTCTGCCGAGTTAATCTACTACTGTGAGTCGCGCAAGAGATCTGGGCTTGGGGGTTTCGATTCTCAACACCTGGATTACAGCTTTGAGTACTGTATTTTTGTTTGGGGTTCGGTTTTTTTGGCTTCTGAGTTTAGGGCTTCGGGTAGGAACTAGCTTTGAGCCAGCTCTAGGAACCAGGGCCCAGCCCAGTAAAAGTGAAACCCGAACCAAGAAGCCTAAACCCTTAACGCAACCCTGACCATAAACCCTGCACCCTAAACCCCCAACCCTAAACTCCAAATCCTAAACTCCAAACCCTAAACTCCAAACCCTCAACCCTAGCCCGAAACCCTGAACCTCAATGTCTAAACTCTACTAAACCCTAAACCCTAAACCCCTCAAGCCCTAACTCCAAACCCCTAAACCCTAAACCCCGAAACCCCTAAAACCCTAACCCTTAACCCCTAAACCCCTACACCCTAAACGCCTAAACCCTAAACCCTTATAGGAACCCTGAACCCATAGGTTTCGGGGTTCTGTGCCCGGCGCGTGCAGGAGCCGGAAGGTACATCTTGGCCCTGACCGAGGTGTCGGCATGCAAGGGGTCAGGGTTTAGGGTTTGGGCTTTGCGGTTGAGGGTTTAGGGTTTGGGGTTTAGGGTTGAGGGTTTAGAGTTTAGGGTTTAGGGTACCGTTGGCCGACCTGGGGTTTGGATTTGACTGCTCTGTTAGTGACCTGGTTGCGGTCCTTCTGGTAAGTTTTCGATTTAGGCTGGCGCATTGCCATGAAATCCGCAGACCCTACTGAAAGGATCATGGGACTTAGTAACTAGGGTTATAAATACGGTAGCTATGCTTATAGCTACTTATCACCCCAATTAGGGTACTTATAATATAGCCTTACTTACTAAGTCCCCTGATTCTCCAAGTACACCCACAAACCCCACCACCCCAAAATCCCTTCAAACCCTAATCCAACTCGAAGTTCAGGCTGCAGGATCGAGGGCTCAGGCTCGGTTGCCTTAGGAGTTTGTTTGGGGTTCTACTGCTGACGGACAAAATCCTGCATAAAACTATATACCAAAACTATGGGAATTATATTAATGAACTAGTACTTGGGTCATGCAGGATAAGTACATTAGCAGTAGTGTCTAGGGATTTAGGTGTTTTAGAGCCCTACAAGTGTAGTCTTGCGAGCAAGACGCAAGCCCAGCCCTGGGGCAAAGCCTACTTAAAGGATCATGGGACTTAGTGACTTTGAAGGGCTCCTTAAAGGGTTCCTTAAAGGGTTCCTATAAGGGATCTATAGGGGTTTAAGGTACTTAGAGGATCATGGGACTTAGTAACTAGGGTTATGTATACGGTAACTATACTTTGAAGTACTTATAACCCCTAAGTAGGGTACTTATGACCTTACTTACTATGTCCTCTGATCCTCCAAGTGCAGCCTGAAGCCCGCACCCCAAACGCTAAGGCGCGAGCCGCCAGAGTCGAGGGGTCCTTTGTTGCTTAAAGGATCTTGGGACTGGGTAATGAAGGGTTCCTTAAGGGGAAGGGATCTATGAGGGTTTCGGGCTTTAGGGATCATGGGACTTAGTAACTAAGGTAGCTATTCTTATAGTTGCTTATAGCACTATAACCTTACTTACTATCCTCAAGTAGAGTTGGCAACCCTTCTTGAGGTGCAAGACGGGCCTGCGAAGGCAATTCCGGACATCCCGGAGGAAGGCGGAAGCCCTAACCGCACAGGGGTTTAGGCTTTTATTTGGGGCTTCGGGTAGGGGTTAGGTCTAAGGGTTCGGGGATTGAACAACTCACGGTCTAAATTCGCTGAAAACCCTGGTCCTGGTCACACCTGAAACTACTATAACCTATTTTCCGTTTAGGTTCTTATTATAAACCCGAATATAGGGTGTACATGGACTGTACAACGCTGGGTTTGTGTAGTTAAGGTAGTCTATGTCAGGCATGTAGACAGGAACGACTGACAGCTCAGGGGTTCCATGATGCGAAAGGTTAAATGAACCCAAGTGCCTGAAGCCCTCATCCCTCAACCCCCTAAACCCCTAAACCCTAAACCCCTAAACCCTAAACCCCTAAACCCCTAAACCTCTAAACCCCTAAACCCTTAAACCCTAAACCCCCTAAGCCCTTAACCCCTCATCCCGCAAACATATCGGCCCTGAAGCCCTAAGCGCCAACCCTCGGTCCTCTAAGCCTTTCATACTGAATCGCAAACCTTGAAGCCCTAAACGAGTACTTGGAGGGCCAGGGGACTTAGTAAGTCGTTTATAAGTAGGGTTATAATTGGGGAACCTCCATTTAGGGCACTTATAGCTTTACTGCACATAACTACAGACTCTAACTCTGGGCCCTAGTCCTGAATCTTGAACCTCAGTTCCTGATGTTGGAATCTCGGAACCCTGTAACCGCACACCTCTAAACCCTACACACAAACACCTAGGTCTGAACATACAAAGCGTATTTCCCAAACCCTTAGCCCTAAACCCACGCTCGCCCACACACTAAACACAGCTTCAAACCTGTTAAAGCGTTAGACCAGCAAAGCCGTATAACACATACCTGAACAGCATGTGCCATATCAAACTGCTGAGCCCGACATCTCCAACCCTCAAGCCTGAATCCAAAGCCCTGACGCCTGAAGCGTGAAATATCGTTCCAACTTCATTACACTTAGAAAGGCTTAAGCCTGAACCCTAGACCCCAGACCCCAAACCCGTAAAGCAAGCCCAACCCTACACTCTAGAGCCTGATTCCAAAACCCCATAAAGCTCTTCCAGAACCGTGAACCCAGAACCCTATACCCTAGAGATCCTATTGACCCCTCATGGACCCCTTTGTAAAGCTCCGTATCAAACATTGATAAAAACCCAAACCCAGAAAATTCACCTTAAATCCTACCGAGCCTGTATGAGCCACTTATCATCCGTCATAAAGAACCCGGAAACTCTAACAATCCTAACAGCGAAAACCTAAGCCCTAATCCTCGAAACCTTAAAAACCCCAAAACAAACCTAGACTCTAAACCCAAAACCCTACAAGCCCTTACAAACCCCAAACCCTGAAGCTGGCTCAGTTTGGCAGCCGGACAAGGGAAGCGAGATCTCACCGGAGCGGGGAGACCCAGTACTTGGAGGATGAGGGGACTTAGTAAGTTAGGTTATAAGTCCCCTAATTGGGGTTCTAAGTACTTATATGTATAGTTACCCTATTTATAACCCTAGTTACTAAGTCCCATGATCCTTTAAGTGCAGTCACGAGAGAGGACGAGAGCAGCAATACTTCTGTTGATGATATAAATCCTGCATACCTTAAGGACCCTAAACTATGGGAATTATGGTATATTCCTTATTATGGACAATGCACGGTTTTTATATATATATATATACATACATACATACATACATGTGTATGTATATATATATATATATATAAATATATATAAATATCATCATCAACCGTTGTGCTAGTGGTTGTACTGGTACTGGTAAACCTTTAACCTTTACTACTTGTGCTTTCATTGGTACTACGGTTGATGATACAAATCCTGCAGTACCCATAGTAAGGAAATACCATTATTCCCATAGTCCAGGGCCATTAAGGTAATTCAGGATTTATATCATCAACCGTATTCGAAGAAGTGGTAGTAGTCGCAGTAGTAGTAGTAGTAGTAGTAGTAGTAGTAGTAGTAGTAGTAGTAGTAGCAGCAGCATCAGTAGCAGCAGTAGCAGTAGCAGTAGCAGTAGCAGTGGCAGTGGCAGTGGCGGTGGTAGTGGTAGTGGTAGTGCTGGTGGTGGCGGTGGTAGTAGTAGGAGGAGTAGTGTACGACGACGAACGTTGCCAATAGTGGCACCCGCGGTAGTAGCGAACCTGAGGCTCCGAAAGCCACCAAAGCCCATTCATGCAAAGCAGACATGCCACTCCGGAGTCTGATTCCTTACCTCTGTATACACCTCCCTACTTCTGTCGAGGCGCAGAGAGAGAGAGCGAGAGAGAGAGAGAGAGACCCAAAGCAAGATGAAGATAGCTGCACAAGACCTACCCAGCGGCATCCATATACCCAGGACGCTGGATGCCAAACCCCAAAAGCCCTGAACCCGAAATGATTCGAAGAACTTCAGGCAAATGGGGCCTGGGCTAACTGCAGAGCTTCTGGAATGCCACAGCTGGGCCGGGTTCCCGCGCGGTGGGGTTTGGGTTTGGGGCTTGCAGGTTCGGGCTGCCATGGTTTGGGGTTTGAGGGTTGGGGGTGGCTGGGGGTTCGAAGTTTCGTGGCGTTTAGAGGTGCCTCTGCGGCGCATCTTCGGAGCTAACCCTTTCAATCCCAGGAGTGTTCATTTCGTAGATGAAGCGGGGCCCTGAGTTGATTGGTACATGGAGCAAGAGCTCATTCTCAAGTCTGCCGCAGTGCTCGAGTAATTTAGCTGTGCGATTTTGCGTGTCGCTTACATGGATACTGTATGATATGAGTGTGTTTTGTTGGCGTTGAACAGAGTCTCTTTCATGATGCACCCTACTCCCTGGTACACACTTTACATGTTACAGCTATTGTACATGTAGTGTCACGTGTTGGGATGTTGCTACATATCCAGGTATGTCCAGTTCCGTGTGTGGTGTCACATGTTAAATATATTGCCGTTTGCTGACATTGGTTATCTATCTTGGTTAGTAGCATTCTTGGCTGAAACCTACAGGCGACAAAAATGTGCTTTAAGACACTTCTGAGCGCCATGATCCCAATGGTACGCAAGCTTCCTACATAGTAGTAACCATATTATTTCATGATAGCGCTCAGCAACCTACAAAAACGAATGTGCAGATCATACCGCAGGACACGTATGTGAACAAACAAGCAACGTAGACAAAGAGGAGGATAGAGAGACAGATAGTAACTAGATACGTGGATAGGTACATGGTAGGTCTGATAGGTAGGTAGATGGAGAGACAGATTGGCGGGTAGGTTAAACAGATGAAGCGAAACGTATACAAGCAACATGAATTTGTGCATACATACGCACACACACATACAGACATACAGGCATATGTACGCATATACGTACACACGCACACATACTGACACCTACATGCGCTACGCACATACATACTGGCACGTACAAACACATGCAGACACCTGCACACATGCACATGAACATGTGCATGTACGTACACATACACAGGCTGGCATATCTATGTACATACACAGGTACAATGCGGCCACATCTACATGTACAGCTTTACTGTACCTATGTATACATGTGTACGTACATGTACATATCCATATACCTACACATACACATTGTTTACATACGTGCATGCATGCATACATGCATAAACACATACATACATGCATGCACACATTCATGCATTCATACATACAGACATGCATGCATACATTCAGACATACATAATTACAGACATACATTCATATACACATCCGTAAATGCATATACGCACAATGCATATGCACAGAGTCGGCGCTGACAGGCAAATGGAGCAAGGAGGTGAACAGTTCTCAAATCCTTGGAGTAGCGAGCTTGCAGCCTTGAAACCCTGCAATCCCTATCCCTAAATCTTAAGCCCAAACACAGTTTGAACCCAACCTAAACCTAATACTGCTACTGCTACGTTTGAAGACCATGCATGCTCTCAACCCCGCCTATTCTCCAACCCTGGATCGCGAAGCCTTGCCCCTGAAACCTCAATCTCTGCACCGGAGTCCCTCATATCTCCTAAACCCTAAACCTATGCCCCAAAGCCTAAAACCAGAAGCCCTCAACGCCATACCTTAAAACGTAAACCCTCGACCCTCTTCGCATCTGACTCTGCTAAGGTCTCGAAAAAGAGTCGTATCTTGCCTGTTCTGGGCATGTTTTCCCGAACTGTTCTCGGATGGGGGTTTTTAAAACTGGGTATATCTACTGTAGGGTTGAGGGTTTAGGGTTTAGGGTTTAGGCGAGCTCCAACTACAGTTTGTGTTTCCGTAGAGGTCTTCCAGGGGCGTCGGAAGGCCTTCATCTTCAGGCTTTTGGTCCGGGCCGGTCTAGCGGGCGCACAGACCAGACCCTTCATTTGCAGGCCCCTAGAGCCCAGAAGCGCCGACGTATTTCAATGAAGTAGGGCCGCGGAGACGGTTTAGTTTGTTGAGGCTTTCAAGGAGTTTCCCCAGCAGCTAGACCGATATTCGATAGTCCAGAAACGGCCTTTTCCTTTCACACATCTTCATCCTGTTGGTTCGCTGTGATTGCAGCTTCCTTGTAGGAATTTGTTGTCCGGGCCACTGACGGCTAGAAGTGCCAGATTTAGAAGACATGCGGCCGTTGGCAAGATTCCCTGGCACATGTAAACAAATCAAGCTGTCTTGAAGCCCGTTACCGCTCGGCCAGAAGCGACCGGTTTCAAAGAAATAGGCCTTATGAGCATCCAAAAACGGCTTCAACGTACCAGGGCCTTGCATCCGAAAAGGGTCCCCCCCGTGGCTGAGAGGTGCTCCGAGCTCTGCGACAGAACCCGCTGGGAGATGGAAAGTCTGCCCTCAAAACGCTTCTAGCTTTGGTGGAAAACTAGGGTAAAACACAAGCATGGGTTTCCCCAGACTAATGCGTGCAGTGGCTGCCATCCAGCCTTGCCCTGCCTGGCCCGGACCTGCCCTGCTCTGCCCCAAACCCCCGGAGCGCCCCCAAGGAGAATCCAGAGATATTTGCAAACCCGAAAAAAACATCAACAACTTCCCGAAACCAAAAAGCGCACCCCGCACACGAAGCAAGGTCAACAAACCCTCAACTACCGTATAACTTTAAACCCTAATCCCTAAAGCCCTAAATTTCTTCAACCGAAAACGATGGCTGTGGAGGATTGGGTTTCGGGGTTTAGTCGCGAAGGGCTGGGTTGAAAGGGTGTTTGTTTTAGAGTTTTCGGATTGGGGGTTGAAGTTCTTTTGCCGGCAGATGAAACACTTCATGCGGGACAAGGCCGTTGATGAGCGTTCAGACAAGTAAGGTTGGTCATAAAAGCCATGCAACAGAAGTTGCACACCGTATCTTGCAGCCAGAGCCCCGACAGCCACACCGCTCACATTTGGAGTAACAAGAAAAATCGCAAACTCTAAGTCCCAAATTCCGCATCTCGCAATCCAAGTCCCAATCCGGAGGTTGCAACCTAAAACTCTCATACCCTTGGCTCTGAACGCTCTGCCCTAAACCCTAGTGGCCCTAGTGGTTTCGACTTTAGGGTGTACGGTTTCAGTATTTAGGGTTTGGGTCCCAACAGCCGAAACCCGAAACCCCTTAAACCTTAAACCTCAACCGTACACCCTACCCTAAACCCCAAACCCCTAAACCCGAACCTCACCCCGAGGAAACTTGTCCAGCTTGTCGGAGGTCAAGGCTGGTCGCACGTTTCCCGCCAAGGTTTTCGGGGTTTTGTAATCCTGAGTTGCAAGGCCTAGAGGGGGACACCGAGGTTAAACCTGGTTGGTTTGTGTCGAATACTGCGCAAATCATAGGGGCCTTCATAATTACCTATACTATTTCGGGGGCTTCCGTATTCTAATTGTAGTATGATATACCCCCAAAACCACGTTCTAATGCTTCAGGCCCCTTACTTAAAGGATCATGCGACTTAGTAACTGGGGACTTATAACCCCAGTTAGGGGACATATAACCTTACTTACTAAGTCCTGATCCTCCAAGCAGATTATTCCGAATCCCAGGGCCCTGAACCCTTGTCAGCCAAGTTTGGGTTTTGCCGTTCAGAGATCTAGGCATCGTGCTGCGATGCCCGCGTCCGATGACATCTACTCCTCGGCCCCTCTGCACGCAGCGCCAACTTATCGAAGCAACATGAAAGCTTGACGTGAAATTCTCTAGATCTGCTACACATTCCATGTGATGAAGCGCCCGAAACATAAGGCTTGTTCTTGTCACGAAGACCACAGCGGCCATTATTGCGGCGCTTGCTATCGCTTTTATGATGGTTGTTGAATCACCAAGCCCAAGCACTACGCATCTTGAATCCTCTTAACCTAAAGCTGCGGCAGGTGCAAGTGGATGCCCAGACTTTGGAGATACAGGATGGGTTGACAATTCACGGTGACGGTAGGGGTTTAAGGTTTGGGGTTGCGCATGAAGGGGTTTAGCAAACCCTAGACCCTAAACCTTATGGGGTTACTAGAAGCGCGTTAGGGTTTCTTTTTGGACGGCGAGTTTGATTCGGCTTTCGGGTTGCCGATAGGTCTCATGCTAGTGCAGGCTGCAGATTGCGTGTTTGATGTCTCGGAGTTCTCAAAACCCTTACGTAGTTACGCCATGCGTTGCTATGCTGTACTGCGCTATGCTGTGCTGTGCTCGGGTATACTATATTGTAGTATCCTATGCTGTACTATACGACGCTATGCGACGTTGTGCCATGCTGTGCTGTGCCATGCTATGCCACACCGTAGCAGCCACCCCGTAAATGGGTAAGCTTGTTCGGTTTGGTGAGAACTCAAACCAAGCCTGGAAATCGAAGCCGCAGCTGGGAAGCTAAATAGCTGCGAGTCAGGTCCCACGCACCGGTTCTCATCATGGTAAGCTCGTATTGAGGTAGCTCACTCTAGAGGCATCGGGCAGAAGCTTGAGCGCTACACCCTGCAACAACCCTCCAATTATTGGATGTCTAAGGCGACTGACACCGACCGAGGTTGTAGGGGTTTGTCGGGCTTTTCGGGTTGGGAGCTTCAGAAATTTAGAGATTACTATAGAGGCCTCAATAGCTACCTATTCTGTTTTGGGGTTCCTGATGATGACCATAGTACAGTATACCCCAAAGCCCAGTTTATAATTATTCAGGCCCCTATATTGGGCTTTAAGCTTCCGGGGTTTAAGTTTAGGGCTTCAGGTTGGGTTCGCGACTTTAGGTTTAGAGTTTAAGGATTCGGGCCTTTTGGGTTTGAGGTTTAGGTTTAGGGTTTAGGGGCCCTAAACCCTTAACCCTGAAAGGGACGGTCTCGGCTGAGATGTTGGCTCTTGGCGGCTCAGACTCACGAGTAGCTGAAGACAGAGGTCTGAAAATGAATGATCATGTCCCCCTTATGGTCACTGGAAGTCAAGCCTGAGCCCAGAGCCCTGAACCCTAAAGCTACAACTTTCACGGAAGAATTGACCCTAAACTCAGGTCAAGTACTTGGAGGAGCAGGTGTCGTAACTAAGGTAAATAAGGTAACTATACGTCTGGTTGCTTATATTCCCAATCAGGGTGCTTATAACTTTACTTACTAAGTCCCTATATCTTCCAAAGTAGACTTCTACTAAATTCGAGGTCTCGTCTCGCACTTGGGGTGTCCGAGACTCACATCCTAGGATTCGGGATCCCCTGCCCCGAAGTCCTCCTAGGCCCCGAACCCTAAGCCGGTTTAGGGTTTAGGGTTTAGGGTGCAAGAGGACATCCACATCTTCTTGAACACAAGCCACTGGAAGAAGAGTGAATGCCTCGGTCTGCTGCAGTGTTAGTACCCGGAACCCCTAAACTCTACACCCTACCCCCCTAAACTCGAAGATCAAGTCCTAAGTGATATCCCCTGCTTCGTGTATCCGAAACCGAGTTTCCGGCTACAGATTCGTGGCTTGGGCATGGATCTTCCAGGTCAACGTCCATCCGGACGAAGGTCATAAACGTGGTTGAGGATGTATGTGATGGCTAGAGAAGCTCTTCTGAAGCTCTAAGATAAGGCCGAGCCTTGGATTGCCCCTCAACAAAGAAAGAACGCGACGTTGACGTCAACAGGCTGCTTTTTTCTTGTGTGCTTACATGCAATCTCCACGTCTGTGTTGGTAGCACCTTAGCTTCAGTTGGTTTCGGCCGAGAACCCGGCATTGTTCGCTGAGATCATATGAGCGCGATCGAGCAGAGAATTAACTAGATCCGCTCAGATTGATTCTTTGCAGTGTCGTGCTTGAGCAAATCTGAGCAAACTAGCCCTTGTTGCTGAGCTTGTATATCACACCCTAAACTTACACCCTCATCCTTGTTTTCCAGCTTGGCTGCGGTGGGCTTAGGGTTTAGGTGTAGCTAGAAAGACCTACCTTTTCAGGGTTCCTTATTAAATCTATTGATAGTTCCTTAAAAAGGTAGGTCCATTCGTCTACAGGCAAGGTTTCGGCTTCGGAGATTGGGGGCAGCTGGCCCTGAATCAAGAAGACCCGGAAACCCTAAACGAAAAAAAAACCCTAAACCCCTAAACCCTAAACCCCTAAACCCTAAACCCCTAAACCCTAAACCCCTAAACCCCCAAAGCCCCAAACCCCTAAACCCCAAAACCCTAAACCCTCCTTGGCGGCTTCCGAGCTTCGGGCCTATTCTTTAGGGCCTTGGGGGTCTTGCAAGCGCTGAACACCTGGGTCCGAATATAGGTCCCTTAAGGACTAGAATAGGGTTTTGGGGCCCATTATACTACAGTCATACATATATATATATATATATATATACATATATAAAAGGAACCCCCAAAATAGTAGAGGTACTTATTGAGGCCCCGATAGTAACATCCTTACTCAGCAGTACTCATCCAGATGAGTCAGAAGCAGTTTTACCGTGGCATGGAATGCATCAAAAAAGGCACAGCAAGACGTTTCCAAAGCCCAAGCGGCCCGGTGTTCCGAGGCAGGAAGACTTTCTTGAAGGAGTGCATCCTGCCGGGCATGTGGGATGATTTTCGGCACCTCGTCACTGCTTTGGGTTCTTTTGGGGGGTTTGGGATGTCGGGTTTGGGACTCAGGCCTTGCAACAGCACAGGTGAATTGCTGCTGTTGCTGCTGCTATTTCCGCTGCTGCTGCTGCTGATGCTATTTTCTGCTGCATTTCAAGCAAGAGCAACAACAACAGGTGACTGTTTCTAATGGTACGTCAACAACTACTACAGCTACAGCAAAGACAACAGTAGTGCTACTCCCACCACTCCTGCCACTAGTGCTACTATTCCCGCTACTCCCAGTGTTCCTACTGCTCCCATACTCCCACTCCCACTCCCACCAATACCAGTGCGACTGTGACTCTGCGACTGCGGATATCACTACGACGACGAGGACGACGGCGTAAGACTACGACTACGATCACGATACAGAGGAGGACGACGACTAAAAATCCTGAACCCACCCAAAACCCCAAAAGCTAAAGCTTATAAACCCCAAGAGTTCTGAGCCCACGCCTCGTTCCGTAAGGCGCTGGCTAGAGGGAAGCGTTTCGAAGAGCAAGGGCCGACAAGGACGAGTTTGGTCTCGTAAGGTTTGTCTTGGAGGATCAGGGGACTTAGTAAGTAAGGTTATAAGTACCCTAGTTGGGGTTATAAGTAATTGTAAGAATAGTTACCTGACTTATAACCCGAGTTACTATGTCCCAGGATCCTCCAAGTACGATCACAGAGGGGCGCAAAACAGTTGCAGCAGGGTTTTGGTGTTCAGGGTAGGGTACCGTAAGGGGTGCTAGACTGTAAAGGCACTACAGCGGTTGCTAGTGGGTTCGTGCTTGTCATCTTGGACTTGTTTGGGCTTGGGGTTTGGGGTTGATTGTTCGGAATTTGAGTATCGTTGCGTGGGTTTTGGTTGGAGTTCTGAACTACGGTTTGAGCTTAGAGCTTGAAGTTTGCAAAGTCGGGTTGCGGTTCAGGTTTTATAGTGTGTGGTTAGGGATTCAGGGCTTAGGTAAGGTTAGGGCTTGAGAGGATAGAGGGTTCAAGTTTAGGAGTTACCGGATGTGGGAATCGGAGGCTTTTCAACATCCGAGTTGTGACCCCATGTTAAAAAGAGATGAGTGCGGTCCGCATGCAATTCAGTGTAAGATATACCCTAAAACCATGGTCGAACAGTCTAAACACTGGCCCTCGATATGGGAGTTTCCGAAAATAGGGGACCCTAATCTAGTAGCATAGTAGGATCCTTATTATGAGGACCACCAAATAAGGTACCCCCAATTTTCGGAAACTCCCGCATCAAAGCCCCGTAACACCAGGCTGTCAAGGTCTCGAGCCTTGGGGCATCGGGACGGCAGCTTTTTGTGCTCTGCACAGTGCTCAACCAAGCCCTAAACCCACCTAAATTCCCGAACCCTGAACCCTAAGCCCTAAACCCTAAAGTCCCGAACCTTGAACCCTAAACCCGAAGCCCTAAACCCTAAAGTCTCGAACCTTGAACCCTAAACCCTAAGCTCTAAACCCTAAAGTCCCGAACCTTGAACCCTAAACCCTAAGCCCTAAACCCTAAAGTCTCGAACCTTGAACCCTACACCTTGAAGCCCCGAACCCTAAATCGAGACTCTGAGCCCCAAACCGAATTAGAATAGGGGTTCCTTTAAAGGGATCCTGAAAGAGTTAGTATAAGGGGTCTATAAGGGTACTATAGTATAGGGGCCCCTGCCAATGCCCGCCCCTAAACCCTTGAACCCTAAACGCTAAAATAATATACGTAGGGGTCGGAATAGTTCCTATCAGTATCGCTTATGGTTACTTTATGATTATGCTAAAGTATACACCCAAATAGTGTTCTGAATATCAAGGCTCTTTCGCAAAACCCCAGTAGTACCCGTCGACTAACTCTTGCAAAACACTTACAGAGTCCATGTTATACACACCCTACTCTCTTTGTTTACGGCTCCTAAGCCTTATAGTATCCCTACAGCTCCAACCCTAGACCCCCAAACCTTCAACCCTGAACCCTAGACCCTAAACCCTAACTACCCAAACCCTAAGTCCTAAACCCCACTCTCCTTTAAAAGCCACACGGAGGAGCCGATCCTCCCTTCATCGTGCCCTTCGGCTTCTCCCGCGTCATGGGAGGCAGCGGCCTAGAGTTTAGGTATAGGTTCTAGGCTTCAGGGCTTTGGGTTTAGGGTTTAGGGTTTTTAAGGCTTTGGTTTTGGGTAGAGTTTGTTAAGTTTAGGATTTATGATCTAGGGTTTCGGGCTTTGTCTTTGGCGCCCGCTTTTGGGGGGGAGGCTTTGGTTTGAGGGTTTAGGCTCCAGTTGCTTTTGGGGGTTTGGTTTATGGAGTTTGGGTGTCGGGCTTATAAACTCTGAGCTTTATATCCCTAATTCTTAAACTCCCAACTCGTAAAGCCCTCAATAAACGAGTCTGAGACTTGGAGTGCTCTTGTTTCTGTAGCCGTGGGAAGTGCGCTTGGGTTTTTTGGGTGATGGACCACCTGGCACGGAAACTAAACGCCCGGGACTAGTAGTCGCTGTCGTCGTCATCGTCGCCATCGTCGAGTAGTACTGGGAGTAGGAGCAGTAGCAGTAAGAGAAGGAGAAGAAGTAGTAGTAGGAGGAGAAGTGGTGGTGGTGGTGGTGGTGGTGGTGGTGGTGGTGGTGTCGTCGTCGTGGTGGAGGTATCCCGGAAGGTTCTCACCGAAGTCCCAGATCTGCGAGGAAACGAAATATGGGCCTGCGGCTTGCAGTCCGACCAAGAACTTCTGTTGTGAGCAAAATGGTGGCGGCTGAGTTATTTTGTGCTGAAGTCATAAAGCTGTACCACACAGTTTTTCTGTGAGCATTGTGAAACAGGGACTGGTCATCGACTTGACGATACAGCCGCCTCAACCGTCGACACGGTCGACTCCGGCCGCATCAGCGATGCGGAAAAGCAGATGCTGAAATTGCTGTCCTCGCAGGAAAAAAGGCTTCATCAGAGTCAGCCAACACTGTGATTCGTTCAAATCTGCGGAGCGTGCCATGAGGTGCTATTGCAAGGTCGGTAGAGGGTCGGTAGAGCAATCTGATTGTTCTGCAGACTCAAGACAACTTGGCCGACTCTATGTCCCCAACCTGCAATCCCGAGCATCATGTAGAACTTTCCAAACTCAGTTTAAACAATGAATAGGTTTAAATCTATCAGTGTCCCTTGGCTCAGGGTATTTTAAAAAGCAGCATTCCTCAGTTTCCTGATACATTCATACGATAAATATGCCCCAAAGCCCCATTCAACTTCTTGAGGCCCGGAACCAGTGGTACCCTGAGTGCTAAACCCTCATCCCAAGGGGGATTCCAGACGTTACGGTGGAAAACGGCCCTCAACAACAAACAACCCCAAACCCAAAATTCTAAACCCTAAAAAAGCCCAAAGCCCTGAACCCTGAAGCTTCAGCCCTAAATCCAATAAGCCCTAAACACCTTCAACTCTAACAGGGAAACCCTAAACCCTAATCCCTAAACCCTAAACCCCTAAACCCCTAAACCCCTAGACCCTACACTCCTAAACCGCCTGCTTTAAACCCTAAGAGGGAACCTTGCTTTCGAGGTGTAGCCTGTGCTCGGACGTGTGAGGTGAAGCACAAGGCCTCCAAGACTGGGTTCCTTTAAAGGGGTCTATAAGGGTTACTATAAGGGACCTATAAGGGTTACTATAAGGGGTCTATAAGGGTTACTATAACGGATCTATAAGGGTACCATAATATAGGGGCCTAAATGATTACCTATACTATTTGGGGGGGTTTCGATCGTCTCCTTAGGAATTCTTTCGAAGGAGCTTAGGGTTCATGGGGTTGGGATTTAGGGTTTGGGGTTCTTGTTTAAGGAATTGCAATCCGGTTGAAGTCGGGTTTAGGGTTTGCGGTTTAACTGTTTAGGGTCCGGGGTTTCGGGATTGGGGTTCAGGTTGATCCTGGGCTTACGGCGAAGTGATTGCTTGAGGCTTACAGCTTGAAAGGGTCGGAAGGGTGCAAAGAACCCTGAACCCTAAAGCTTAAACCCTAAAGTCTTAAACCGTACACGTGCTGTAACCGAAGATCCGACTCCTAAGCCCAGCCCCACCGGGCCCGGAAGGCCAGAACTTTATGGTTTAGGGCTTAGGGCCTTAGAGTTTGGGGTGGAGCGTTTAGACTTTCGGGTTTTAGGGTGTGGAATTCTAGGGTTTCGGGTCAGGCCCGAAACCACAAGCCAAGCCGTTCAGTTCCAAACTCCGCACCGCCTTCTCAGCATTCAGACCCGGCCCACAAATCGTACTGTGGCTGCCGGAATACTAACCGATATTGTCCTAGGATTCAAATATACCCCAAGACACTATTCCAAATACTAAGGCCCCTACGTTGAACCCAAACCCCTAAACCCTAATCCGTGAAACCTTAAATTCCAGAATCCTAAATTCCCCACATCTTACATCCATGAACCCCTCGACGCTGACCTCCTTCCATTTAATATGTAAGGCTGTACTCAGTGATCGCATTCCTTGGGGTCCAGCATTATACATATACAGTAGTTCAAAATCTCCCAAAAGGCTCGATCTACTTGTCCAGGCCCCTCTGTTACCCTACACCCTAAACCCTGAACTCTAAACCCGGCACCAAAACAAAAAACCCTAAAGCCCAAACCCTCACTCTACTTGTTTAGGCCCTTATGTTACCCCAAACCCTAAACCTTAAATCCATTAAACCCTAAGCCCCAAACCGTAAACCCTAAACCAAACACCCTAAACCCCAAACCCTAGGCTTTACTCTTCAGGTCGGACCGACGGGACGGAATGAACTGAGCCTCCGCCTGCGCCACATCTTCATCCGGAGGTGGGTTTGAGGTTAGAGTTTAAGGTTAGGATTGGAGTTGAAGGTTTAGGGCTTAGGATTGGAGTTCAAGGTTTAGGGCTTAGGATTAGAGTTTAAGGTTTAGGGTTTAGGGTTAGGGTTTAAGGTTTAGGGTTTCATTGACGGAAATGGGGGTGTGGGGTGTCAGCTGTATACGGTTTCGCTCTGGATGTTTGTGGTTTGACAGACAGGGTGCGGGGCTGATTTCAGACGGTTTGAAAGGCTTGCCGGGCATTTTGGACACAGCATGGAATAAAGCTTCCCGTAAAGGTATCCATTCAATACATAGACCCTACGGTAAACCCTTTAAGCAAAAGCCCTTAACCCTTAAACCCGAAACCCAAAACCGAAGAGTGTAAGGGTTTCAATCGGGATCCCACCTTTCGAGGCTTCAGTGTTGCAAGCTTTGGGATTTAGGGTTTAGGTTTTAGGGTTTTGGGAAGATATACTGGCATCCAGAACGTACACCTGCCTTTTGAGAACTGTAACATAGCTCACGATCGCACAGCAAGATCTCGGAGCTACTACTTCTACACATGGTTTGAAATAAAGTAACTATATGACCACTACCCCAAGACCCTAAACCCTAGGCTGCACAGAGCAAGAGAGAATTTCAGAGAGCGTAGGCCGCCTAACAAGCAACACTCGCCAAGCTGCAGGCGTACCAACCAACCCCCGAACCGAGACCAAGGTTTGATGCCCATTGTAATTCGGGTTCAGAAGGCTTTTGGCTCGGAGAACTGTACGTAGAGAGGAACCAAGCTAGCTGGCCAGTTTTTATTCCACCTCTGAAAACTTCATATGCCCCAAAAGAGCACAAAGACAGTGCGGCTCTCTGCGAACCACAATCGGTTCCAGCGGTTCTGTGGCGTGCTTTTGCCTTGGAAATTCTGTGACTGTCGTGCTCTCGCACTGCGTACATGTGGCTCTGGCCACCCTGCCGTGCGTGTTGGGGTGGAAATCGTGCTCCCCGAAATGAGGCTAGCAACATGGGGACCACACCGCTGGACCAGTGCAAGACCACTCCATGGTATTCCATTCCGCGGCATTTTGAAGAACATTGCAAGGCCGATACAAGTGCGTGCGGCTCCATGGGGGGACCATACAGTAACAGTCTATAATAGGGCTACTATTCAGGGCCTTATATAACTATATTATGAATATTCTCCAACTGTTACTGAGGGGGGACCCGAACTTTACTCTAAGATGCGCCAGGCACTGAGCCGAGAGGTCCATCTTACGAGGAGGAATCACGCCCGGACTGTTCCGGGGACAAGGCTTCTAAGTGTGACCGGGGCACGACGAGGACAAAGCAACTGCAGGCGGACTGCGGTTCTTCCGGCTTTACAACACCATTATGCACACAATCCGTCACATAGTCTTTAACAACATAACACATAATGTAAACAAGTTTGCAAACCATATCATCTAAATATCTAAATTTTGTAAGACAGGCAGTGGCATCGAGACCAAGAGAGCCCCACCTGTCGCTTCGGAGACCTTCGGGACCTCAAGTGCAGGCCCTGATAGAAAGCATAATGTATAAAGTATATTGTTCACGATAAAAGAGGCAACACGTAACGCATAATATAGAAGATGTCATAAAGCAGTGTGTATACATAAATATGTAGATATGCTGCTAATTCTACGCTATTCTATTCTGTTCTGTTATGCTCGGTTCGATTCCATTCTACTCTATTCCATTCTATTCTAATTAATTACTTTGTATTCTTGTCAGTGCTGCTCTACTAAAATCCGTTATTTTATATTCTGTTATATTACTTCATATGATATTTTGAACTAAACCAATATGTAGCAGCTTTTCTTCTCTCTCTGTACATAATAAATAAGATAAAGTAAGTAAACCACTACACAGATAAAATACGTAACTCTCTCTCTCTACATATTTATATATATATATATATATATACAGATATATACAGATAAGGATGTAAACAACAAAATAGAAAGGGTAATATTTGTGTGTGTATATATATATATATATGTTGCTTATGCACACTTACATACGTACACACATACGGCATGATTCTTAGAAGCAGGCCCGCTACGCACGAAGGAGGCCAAGCGAGGGAGTGTCCAGTGGGCGCCGCGGCAGGGTTTAGGGTGGAGGGTTTAAGGATTCAGGGTTCAGGGTTTAGGGGTTTAGGGCTTAGGGATTTAGGGTTTAGGGTTTAGGCTTAGGGATTTAGGGTTTAGGGTCTAGAGTTTAGGGGTTTCGGGGTTTGCTGTAGGGTTTAGGCTTGGGGGCTGGGGATTTCAGACGGGAGGGGCTTGAATAGCATTCGGGTGTCAAGCCTTGTTTGGAAGCTCAGCCTTCAACCCTGAGGGGGTAGGGTCGTTGTGCGTTTAAGCTTGGAGGGACACAAAAAACCCTAAACTAGTATAGTGTGCAGTATATGAGTATACGGTGTTGGAAACTTACAAAGGATAGGTAAGTATACATAAGTTAGAATATTTATGCATATATATATATATATGTATTATATGTGATATATATATATATATATATTGATACACTTATGAGCACACACACACATAAATACAGGACTAACCCTCAACCCTCGACCTTCGGTCGTCCTCGAGACTCATCCGGGTCTGCTCCGCTAAACCTGGTTTATTAGTTTATGTTAAGAGTGTAGTTTATGTTACCATAACAGGGATAGGGGTTGGGGTCGAGGGTCCAGAGTTTAGTTTATGATCGTATAACAGGGATAGGGTTTCGGGTTTCGGGTTCAGGGTTGAGTTTATGTTAGCCCAATAGGTATCTTCGGCCATAATACGGTTTCCTTGCTATGGCATTTTAAGTGAAGTTCCTCAGGAAAAAACCCCAGCCAAAGCCCCGGGATGAACTTCAGGTGCTGTTCGACGGTGCAAGCCTCGAGGGGAACCCCAAAGCCCGAAGCGCCTACAGCAAATCGGTGGCTGCACCTGAATCCGTCGACAGTTAAGATGCAGCCTCAAGTGCCAAAGGCATGACTTGCGCCGTTTTCGGTCCAGAGAAAACCAGCAGAAATGGTTCGCCTGCATATCGATAAGATTTATTGCGGCAGTGCAACCGCATTACTACTGCAATGCTTACCACGGTTGCCAGGGTTGCTTTCCGTGTGCATGGC